TTTGCTTTTTGCTTTTTTTAATGTGTGCTGACCCGAGTCACATTTAGAGCAGGCAGCTACATAGATTGAGTGAATAAGAAAGATTTATAAAGGACAATACGGGTAGTCCTGAACTGAGCCCACCATTTCTGTTGCTAAATGAAACATTTGTTAAGTGAGTTTTGCCCCACTTTTCTTGCCACAGTTGTTAAATAAATCACTGCAGTTGGTAAATTAATAACACAGTTGTTAGGCGAAATTGATTTCCCCAATGACAAAGGAGTCACGGCTCTTATCGCCCTTGCTTGCCCCACTTACGCCGCCCAACCACGAGGGATCACAGGACCCCAGGGCACTGCAAATGTCATAAATATGAGTCATTGCCAAACATCTGGATTTTGAACATGTGACCATGGGGGTTCTGCAATGGTGAAAAATAGCCGTAGATCATTTTTTTCAGTGATGCTGTAACTTTGAACAGTCACTGTTGTAAGTCGAGGACTACCTGCACCATTTGCATGGTCTTCCCAAATGACATCAATGAATCTGGGTGAAGGGAAAGCTATTCCAAGACTAAGGAATGCAAATAGGAATCTCAATGCTCAGCTTCTCAAATGGCAGGACTTTCAGCAGGCCTTCCCATGACAAGCATACAAGACAGAATGGTTGTAGTTGAAGATGTTGTAGAGCCGAGGTGGCGCAGTGGTTAAATGCAGCACTGCAGGCTACTTCAGCTGACTGCAGTTCTGCAGTTCAAATCTCACTGGCTCAGCGTTGACTCAGCCTTCAATCCTTCCGAGGTGGGTAAAATGAGGACCCGGATTGTTGTTGGGGGCAATATGCTGACTCTGTAAACCGCTTAGAGAGGGCTGAAAGTTTTATGAAGCGGTATATAAGTCTAACTGCTATTGCTATAAGATACCAGGAAGTAAGCCACAATGAGTTTTATAGGTTAAAAGAGCACATTAAACTGTAATTGGAAACCTCTTGGAACCCAACACAGTTCCTATAAGATTTGCATTATATGGTTGCAATGGCTCTTACATTTCAGCAGGTGGGCAACTATTTTTTTATCTAATCACAGTTTCTAAGGGAGACCCATGTAAAATAAATAACAGAAAACCTGTTGTCCAGTGGTAAGTACTACTGTCAGGGTTCCAAGTAACACCCCTAATGAAAGAGGACTCCGAGGCTTGCATTTCCTCAAAGCTCCATTTTATTAGAGATGGCATATTGGTACATCTGGGAAAACCCGAATCTGAAAGTTTCCAAGTTTTCTACACTCAAGTGAAAGTTCAAGTCCCTGCCCAGCACCACATGTCCATCACATGGTCCAATCAGGCTCTGTCCCAACAGGAGATGCCTCTAGGTGCAGGGCAAGACATTCTTGACTCTCCAAGAAAGGAATGTTATTTTCACTATATCTGTCACACTCCATATAAACCCCCCTCTCAATTTCCCACAGCAGTAAAAGTGGCGGTCTGAAAGCCCAATACAAAATATGCCTTATGAGGTGCTGTTACCAAGGTCTTTCACTTTAAACAAGGTCACAACTAGTATACCAGCAAAGCCAGACAAAGGTCTTGATTTCAGGTTTTTCTTTCCGATCAAATCACCTAGTCTCTAGGCATTAGATCAGATCTTTCCTAACTCTGGGTTAACCAAAGATGGAAATATATACTTGGATTATCCTTCATATATTTATACTTCATCCCAAATGGATACATGATTTCAGATGTTTTGTGTAAATGTTAAACAGCGGGAAGAGAAAGCCAAGCCTTGCATCACCATGACACAACCGGCATTAGGCTATCATCTCTTCTGTTTATATAGGAAGAAATGGAACAAATTATGCTATCAACCCCAATCATAACTGAATCCATAAGGCATTCAAGATGAAATTTCTGGAAATTTACAGAAGGCAACAGGAAATAGGAAGTGATCTGATCATGGCAGAGAATAACAACATCTTCTGTCAGAGTGCATCCTCTGTCAAACAGCAATTAGCAATTTACAGCATGGAAGCACACATGGGGAGAGAAATACACCCAAACAGGGTCTCTTCTTATTGGAGGCGCTTAAGGTGATATCAGTCAAAAAAACCTTCCCAGCATTATATCACCATAGCAGCTGGTCAGCTATTAAATCATTACTCTTACATCCTCCATCCTCAGATCATAAGCTAGATTCTGTGTGATAAAAGAACCTAATGTATGAGTTGGGCCAGAGACTCCCAGGGGATCAGGATGCTATGAAATGCTGGAGTCTCCTTTGGCTTCGTGGACATATATTCAAATTAAAACAAGACACAAGAAAGATGCAGAAATATATGGATTTTACAAGGAACTCCTAGAATTAGATCAGATATTTCTAGGGACAGATGACAAATTAATAAAGGAAATTTATAATTACCCATTGATTACTATTTATTTATAGATTGATTACTATTAAAAGCGTTCCATGCACCTTCGGCATTTAGCCATGCTGGCCACATGACCACAGAGAAGTCTTCTGACAGCGCTGGCTCTTTGGCTTTGAAAAGGAGATGAGCACCGTCCCCTAGAGTCGGGAATGTCTAGCACATATGTGCGATGGGAACTTTTACCTTTACCTTATTGAACTTTAAAATGGAAGAAGAACATGTAAAAGAAACCATGATAATATAGGCCAAAATTTTTGGATATAATAAAGAACGAGACAATTGGCAAAAACTTTAGGAAAGAAATTACAAACTAACAATGTTAACAGCATACAAAGAAAACCTTTACAAAATGCTCTACAGATGGCATTTGCCACTAGCAAGAATAGCAAAGATGTTCCAAAGCTTATAGCCAGCATGCTGGAAATGTAAACAGATACCTGGGTCCTGTTACCATATGTGGTGGACTTGTCCAATGGCAAAAAAATATTGGTTAACGATAAAAAGGCAGTTAGAAGAAATGATAGCACAACAAATAGATTTAAAACCAGAATTGTTCCTATTAGGTATACTACCGAGGAAATACAACAAAAGAACTATATATTTAATATCATGTGTAATAATGGCAGCGAGAATTATGTACGCACAAAACTGGAAACATGAAAGTATACCTATAGATGAAACTGTAATAAAGAAAATATTGGACTGTGCCATAATGGACAGGTTAACGATGAAAATTAAGGATAAAGAGGAATCGTTAGAAAGCAGAAGCAGAATTAAAATTAAAGTTGATTAACAAAATCATGCTTTATAATTTATAAAAGATGATTAACAAAATAGAGGTAAATGTATATATAAATATATATAAACATTATATTATAAGCAATATTATCATTGGATTATATTTGATTACAGATTAAATTGTATATGACGAAGTGAATATTATATTGTATATATTATGAAAATAATGGCTATAATTATAATGTATAATATTATGTATATTCAAAAGAGATTTGATACAGACAGTACATTGTAGTCGCAGAAATGGAAACATGATGTATAACAAAGGAAAATGTATAATAAAAAATAATATATTAAAAAATGCTGGGCTCTCCTACATTCCACACACACATATGATTGAAATCCCGTAGCACAGGGCTCTCAATCCCCTGTACTGGTCCACAGGCTGTCAAACTGGACTGTGCAAGTGGCAGGTGAGCATGCAAAGTTCGATTTGCGCATGCGGGATTAGATTGTGCATGTGAAACCATCCCTTCCCACCACCGCTGCCACTTCCTGGCACCACTGCCACTGTCAGTCCATAGAGTCGGAAAGGTTAGGGACCACTACCCTAGCATCAATAGTTCAGAAGGTTCTAGCACGAGCCCCACAACAAAGTCCAGGAGCATAATAATTTTCCCCATGATAAAACATTGGTCAGTTATATTTTTGTTACTACCTAGGACCATGATGGCGAACCTATGGGCATATGCACGCTCCGGCCAGCTGATTTTCGGCCTTGATTTTCACCTGTTTTCTGCCCTCCGGAGGCTTCCTTGAATGTGCAAACCAGAAGTTCGGAAACAGACTTTCGGTTTGCTCATTAGGCTGTTTTTTGCCCTACAGAGGCTTCAGGGAAGCCTCTGGAGCCTGGGGAGGGCGAAAAACAGACCTAGTGGATCTACCGGAAGTTGGAAAACTGGCTATTCCCAGCCTGTGGAGGACTTCTGGGGGGCAGGGGAGGCCTTTTCGCCCTCCCCAGGCTTCAAGAAAGCCATGTGTTCATGCGTGAAGCAGTGTGTGTGTGTTTGTGTGTGTGTGTGTGTGTCACACATGCATGTGCAGGGGGCATGGTGTGGGGGATTAAATTATGGGGGTGGGGGCACGCAAGTGTGTGAAATAGCATGCACACGCATGCTTTTGGTACCCAAGGTGAAAAAGGTTCGCCATCACTGTCCTAGGATTTAAATTCACAAAGTACACTGCTGTCCCACTGTCAGTAGTAAAGAAAGCAATTTGTAAAATATACCTTTGAACTTTTATCTACAGTTATAAAACAGTTGATTCCATAAGTTGATCTCAAGATTCTAGAGAATTTCTGTGCGTATCATTTGGATTAATTAAATTCCACTAATTAAATAAGCATGAAGGGATGGTTGAAGATCTATTCAAAGATATGGTATTGAAGTAACTGAAGCAATAGATGTAAATTCATAAAGAATGTGAATGCTTAAGTAAAAATGTACTAAATTCCCTTTACTACATGCCCCAATTTTGGCAGCTGAAGCCAGAAATCTTAAAATTGCAAAGGCTGAAAAACAATGAATTAATATAATTGAAAATAAATCTTAAAACCCATTTATTTCAATACTCTCTTTTAACATTTCTTTTGCTTTAAGAACCAAGCATGGATCCCTAAAACTTGTTCAATATTTAAGAACTGCTTTTAGTAGACATGATTAAACCATAATTGCAAAATTACAAATCTTTTCCTATGCTAAATTTCTTTCATTATTAAACACAGGATAGCAGTAACTAACATTCTAATAATTACATCGCAAGCAAGAACTACTTTGCATTAAAAATGCAGCATAATGCTTACCGTGTAAATGCCAATTCTACAAACAGCAAATGAAAGCTGGATACATTCGGACATTTTCTAAAAAAATTGAAATAAGCATTACCAAGTATTATTATTGTTGAAAAAAAGGAAAGGATTCCTCAAAAAAAACTCACAGATATATGTGATGTGTTCTATCAACCACCTCCAGCAGAACTGGAATAGAGGTTCTAGTTCTCCCTCCTGCAGTAGTATATCTTCAGGACAATATAAGTATCAAGAACCATTTTTTAAAAAAATCAGTGAAGCATACGCTTACCAGAATGACCATTGGCTTACCTGAAGGGTCCTTTTCCATGCGCTGGGGAGAATCCAAGCAAGGGTTAAATTCCTCTGCCCAATGAACTGGATTGAAATCTTGACCACGCCTACTGGTTTCCCGATATTTTCAGTTTTTCAATGAAGGCATGGTTCCGAAAGGTAAGTCAATATCAAGTCAATGTCAAGTCAACGTCAGTGTTCCATCCTTCCAAACGTCCACAGCCGAAAGCAAGAACGACTTTGATGGAAAGGAGATAACCTCAGGGCGGAATTGAACTCTCTCACAGCACACAGAAAAGGACCCTTCAAGTAAGCCAATGGTTATTTTCCCGTGCGCTGCTTGGAGAGTCCAAACAAGGGACATACCCAAGCAAAAAAATGTCCAAGGGTGGGAACCACAAAGAGTAACATCCCAACCCTAATGTGTCTCAGAAGCAACGGCCTGCAGCACTCTCCTACCAAAGGCCGCATCTGCGGATGCAAATTTGTCCAGTTTGTAGTGTCTAACAAATAATGATGGGGACACCCAGGTCGCCGCTTTGCAGATTTTCTCGACTGACGCTTGAGTGGCCCAGGCTGCCATTATGGCCGCGCTGCATGTGGAATGTGCCGTCACTCAAGGGGGAATGGGTCTGCCCTGCTGTTCGTAGGCCAGGGAGATGCACGCTTTGATCCATCTCCCAATGGTGGACGAGGTGACTTTTTGACCCAACGAGGTTGGTTGAAAGGTGACAAATAAGGCCTCCGACTGATGAAGGGGAGCCGTGCATCTGATGTACTTCTTGACTGCCCTTCGAACATCGAGAGAGTGCCAGCAATGCTCCCTTGGGTGATTTGGACTTGGGCAAAAGTCTGGGAGGACGACCTCCTGGGCACAGTGAAAATATGAATTAACTTTTGGTACAAACGATGGATTGAGACAGAGGACAACTCTGTCTGGGTGGATGGTACACAAATCGTCCTGGACCGATAGAACCACAATTTCCGAAATCCTGCAGGCTGAAGTAATTGCAACAAGGAAGGCAGTTTTAAAGGACAGGTGTCGTAAGGACGCATGATGCAATGGCTCAAAGGGAGGGCCAGTGAGCGCCTTGAGCACAGTGGCAAGGTCCCAGGTCAGATAACAATGGACAACCTGGGGACTCAGGTTGGAGGCGCCACGTAGGAAGCTGTGTATTTCCAGTTGTCTGCAGAGTGGCTGATGGTTGCCATAGGAGAGCACCGTGGACAAGGCTGCTACTTGGTGTCTTAAGGTGTTAGCAACTAGACCCCTATCAAGGCCCTCCTGCAGAAAATCTAGGATTTGAGGCGGGGAGCCGGCTGTTGGCTGAAGCTGGCGTGTCGTGCACCAATTAGCAAAGGTGGTCCAGGTGACCTCATAAATCCACGAGGAGTATTGTCCGGATGCTTGGATGGTGTTGATCACCTTGGTAGAATAGTTGGCTCTCCTCAGGAGATCCCTCTCAAGTGCCATATGGTTAGCTTGAGCCATTCCGGATGCATAACCGCTCCCTGGCTGAGAGAGACTGACTCCTGAGGGATCCTCCAGGGATGTGCAATGGACAGGTATGTTAAATCGGCAAACCAAGTCCATCTGGGCCAGTATGGAGCCACTACAAGAACCTCTGCCTGCTCCTCCAGAATCTTCCTGATCAGTCTGGGTATGAGCACCAATAGAGGGAAGGGGTAAAGCAGCCCCGGAGGCCAGGGGAATCGAAGGGTGTCGACCCCCTCCCCTGGGGACATTGGAATCTGGTGAAGAATCGAGGGAGCTGAGCGTTTCCCAGAGTGGAGAACAGGTCGACCAGGGGATGACCGAATCTCTGAGACAATTAGTGAAAGAGGCGTGGATGGAGGTACCACTCCCGAGTTGTCTAGTTTGGTGCGGCTCAGCCAGTCCACGTTGTTCACTCCAGAGATGTGCTCGGCCCGAATGGATAGTAGGTGACATTCCACCCACCAACCAATTGCCCCCACCTCCATCATGAGGGACTGGGACCTGGTACCCCCTTGGCGATTTATGTGCGCCTTTGTTGCCACATTGTCGGTGAGGACAAGGACATGGTGATGTTGGATGCAGTGCTGGAACTTGCGAGGCGCTAGCCTGACTGCCCTCAGCTCTAACCAATTGATGTTGTGCGAGAGATCGCGAGCTGACCACTGTCCTTGAGTCACTAGGGTGTGTAAGTGAACTCCCCAGTGAAGAGGCTAGCATCAGTTGTGACGGTCAGCCTGAAGTAAGTCCCTTTCAGAAGAGCTGGTGAGAGCCACCATCGGAGAGAACGAATGACTTTGGTGGGTAAACATACCCTGACTGGTGAATTGCTGGTCTTCGCCCTCTGCATTGGTAGGAGAAACTATTGCAGATCTCTTGTATGGAGTCTCGCCCAAGGAACGATTGAGAGACATGAGATCATCTTCCCCAGCAACTGTGACAGTATGACAATGTGAGTGCTGGGGGAGAGGCGAACCTTTTGGACCAGTTCTCAGAGACTTTTGACGCGGTCCGGTGACAGGAAGACTTGGCAAGATGAAGTGTCTATCATGGTTCCCAGGTGCCAAATCCTGGTGACTGGAGTCAAGTGACTCTTTTCGAGGTTGATGGTAAAACCGTGACTCCACAATGTCTGCATGGTGATGCATAGATCTCGTGTTGCCTGCCCCAGTGACGATGACTGAATCAAGATGTCGTCTAGGTAACACTGTAAGTGGATCAGTCGCGACCTTAGGTGGGCAGCGACCGCGGACAGGATCTTTGTAAATGCCCTTGGGGCTGAAGACGGGCCGAATGGGAGAGCCCTGTACTGAAAGTGGGTCCCAGCGTAGAAGAATCGCAGGTAGCGCCTGTGTTCAGGCCTGATGGGGACTTGGAGGTACGCCTATTGATGTCAGGAAGTCCCCTTGACGAATGCAGCCCATGATGGATTGGAGGGACTGCATTTTGAACTTTTTGTAGGCCACATAATGATTCAGCTCCTTTAAATCTAGTATTGCTCTCCACCCCCACCCCTCCTGAGCTTTTGGGCACTAGAAAAAGAATGGAATAGAACCCCCTGCGCTCTTGCACCGGGGGAACCGTTTCTATGGCCCTGATCTTTTTGAGGTGGTGGATCTCGGCCTCCATGAGACCCCCCTTGGTGGGGCATCTTGTAGTTGGGCAATGAATGAAGTGGCGCGGAGGGGGGAGGAATTCCAGAGTGAGGCCTATCCGAATAGTTTGGAGCACCCACGCATCCGAGGTAATCTCCCACCAGGTGGCAAAGAGTAGGAGCCGTGCCCCTATGGGAGGATTGGGAGGGTGGTCACTTGTTCCCACAGAAGGGCTTGTTTCCAAACCCTCCCTGAAAGGGATGCTGGGAGTAGGGCTGCTGATGGGCCCTGTCCCGAAAGGGCTGTCGCTCCTGATTGCGATCCATTCCTTGAGCGTATGAATGCTGAAAGGAGGGGTTGTTGTTCGGAGGGTCAGCTGGGCGAGAAGTCTGCCTGCCGGAGAAAGAGGATGACGGTCAGGTTTCCTAGAAACCGTGGGCATCACCTTCCACTTATCCTTGTTTTCAACTAAAACTGAGTCAAGGGCCTCCCCAAATAATTTGCCACCTTTAAAGGGAGTGGAAGCAATCTTCCACTTCAAACGCATATCCACGTTCCAGTGGCATAGCCATAAGAGCCTATGAGAGGTGACATTAGAGGCCATGGGGCGCGAAGCAAACTTCGCTGCATTAAGGGTGGCATCTGCAGAGTATTCTACCGCAGTTACAATTTTGTTTACGTCATGCCGCAGTCTGGCGTCTCCTGCCGGGAGCCTAGTAAGTAACTGGTGAAGTCAGGCAATAGTGGCCCTATTTAAGAATGAGGCGGAGGTGGCCACTTTGATGGCCCAAGCTGTGGCTTGATGGGTTTTGTGACAAGCCTGTTTGGCTCTTTTGTGCTCTGCCTTAAGTCCCTCTAGAAGGTCCGGAAGGAACACTGAAGAGGAAGTAAAAGTCTAAACTGGAGGATCAACGGAAGGGAGTTTAAGAAGCTGTTCCATTGAATGATCCATTGAGTAAAGGCGTTTGTCATTATCGCCGGGGTTGGACAGGCTCTCTGGTTGGACCCACTGGCATTGGACTACATATTTAAAGAGTTTAGAAGGGACGATTTCCTGAGCGGGAACCTTCTCATCGAACAGGCTCTTACTGTGATCCGTAGGATCCGCAGCTGCCTGATCCAGAGGCACTGCCATCTCCATGTGGGTGGACACCTTGGTCTTGAACAGGTCAGATTTGAACAGGGATGGTTGAAACAATTCAGGAAAGGCTGGTTTATCTGGAATGGGGTTCTCATCATCCGATAGGTCATGACCCCCCCCCCATCCCCATCGTCCCAAACCGATTCACCACTGGCCACCAAAGGGGGTGGGGATGAAGGTCTGAGGAGGCCCTGTCGCTCACTAAGGCCCTGAGGGGGCTGTCTCGTGCCTTTGGAGGCCCTCAGCTATCCCCTGAGAGATTGCTGTAGCAATCACCTGTCTCATTTCTGCTGATAGGCCTGGTCCCAGGTCTTCTACTGGGCGGGTCCCCACCACAGTAGGCCTGAGAATGGGATCCCTGGCTAGAGGAACAGGAGGAGAGGCCTCCCTATCAGAAAGTAGGTCGCACTCAAATAGGTCTGCACACACACAAACACACACACCTTGAGGGAGAGGGAAGGGGACCTGGACCCCCCAGAGAGAGAAACCTCTCTGAAAAACCCCACAGACTCAGAGATAGCTGGAGGAGGAGAGGGGGGCCCAACTGGATCCTGCCCAATAGGACTTGCTGGCTGATCTGGCTGATTTGTGCCACTATCTGCCTTTGGGCCTTTTCAAATTCTTTCTCCAGGGCCTTCTGGTGCCTAGAAGCATCCTTCTCCTGCACCTTAGATGGCTGCCTCGAATAAGGCTTGCTGTTCTTGGTCAACCCCCCCCCCAATGGCTTCCCTAG